TTATTACTAAACGTTTAAAGTGTTCTTACTTCTAAATTGGACGTTGCTCTTCTTAAATTAAATATTAAAAAATGTACAAGGAATCTTTTAAACAATGTTTTAGGATTCCAATTTAAGATGATTTATCATTTTTATTACAAAGAAAAATTACACAACACCCTGTATCTCAAAATGGAAATTCTACCATGGTTTTGTATAGGCAGACATTTTATGTTCGGGTTTAGTTTGTATTGGTTATTTTGTGTTTTGACTATTTCAGCAAATTTAAAAGTTTAGGTTTTATTAAGATTTACTTTAAGATATTAACTTACCTCACTAGGAATAGTTTTAACTACAATTGTGCAATTACGTGCATATCGTTTCACCAATTCCCATGTGAAATCCGGAACATAGTTCCTGCCTAGTTTTTTAGTTGCATCTGAAAAATTATTAACAATATCATTTTTAAATTAGATTAAATTATTATTTTAACAACTGAACGAAGCATGTACAGGGCCTTAGCAACGCGTCGCTACCCGGGGTATAGCGGTGTCAATCCCGAGCCCTTTTTCCAATCCCGGGCCTTTCGGTACCAAAGGTAACTAATTCCGAGATCCCGTGATCAGTCCCGAAAAAATATATATCATTAATTTTAAAACCAATTTAAAATAAAGAAACAAACTAACGAACGATATCTTTCGAACTTTACACTAGTTGGAGGAATGGATTTCAAGAATTCGTAGGCACTTTGTACCCGCGTTTACCCCCCTTAACAAATAATTCCATTTTTTTTTATCAATCGGGCCTTGGTGAGTTCCAATTGGGGCTGTAACTTACATTGAAATTATTAAGTTTGTTTCAGAATACTATAATTTAATTTAATGTAAATAAACTAGCAAATTCTCTTAAAACTTATATGGAATCTGTAATAGAACAAATATGTCCAGAAGTGGAATTCAAAATTGAAAAAAAATATATTAACAATAAATGGATTACACCAGAAATTTGAATTAAAATGAAGGAAAGGGACCTTAATTATAAAAGAGCAACATTAAACAAATGAGGCCTGTTGGTCAAAATTAGATTTTTGGCGGAGACTGTACTTCAACTAATTATCTATAAGATGATAAAGTTTATGTGCTGCAAAAGAAGCTAAATCCTGCCTAAAATCCTATTTTAAAAATGACATTTAGTGCAAAGTCGTCAATCTCCACTGATAGATTTGCAGCAAAGTATACAATCTTCAATTCCACCATTAGAAATTAGTAATTTGTGTCACCTGATATCCTAACATTTGATGTTATAACGTATTTTAGAGATTTAATTTTGTGTTTTTTTACTGGTACTTACTGTTAAGTTCTATTGCAGTAAATTGTACTTAAAAATATATTTAAAATAGGTATATATACGTTTTATTGTTTTAAGAATTATAAAAAAAGTTATCTTGTTTATTTTGTGCTATTATACCATAATAAGACGTAAAGGTAAAGCAAGAAAAGGCTGATAATATCAAAACATTGCAAGTAAAACATTACGGGGCAAAGTGGGAAGAAGATGATGAGTTGTACTATAAAAACTTTTTTGCACGAGGCAACCTGGTCCCAGATTTAGAAGAAACTCAAGATTTATATGGTCCAGTTCAGAATTTTCCCACATTGATTGTATAGTTAAATTTTATAACCATTAAAGGAAAAAAATACAATTATTTTTTTGTTTATTTTTCTAAATCTCCTTAAACGTTTATAACAAAATGAGCAATCTCCAGCAATTCATATCAAAGTCAGCAATCTCCAATTTATAATTATAGATTTCACCTATACTATGCATCCTAGAGACCTTCTAGTTTGCTACTAGACTAACAACAACAATATTTCAATATAATATATAAAAAAATTACAAATCTAGAATTTAAAATACCAAAATCAATTATCTCAATTTACTCAGTTTTAGTCTGACGGGAGATTGTTGACTTTGCTCTGACAGGCCTCAAATGTGAGGAAACATGGAACAAATACAAAAGCTTAACAAACATGGTAACAACAATGATAAGACATGAAAAACAAAATTATTTTCATAAAATAATTGATGAAAATAAAACAAATCCAAAACAAATGTGAAAAAATATAAAGACAATTTACCAGGTAATAAAAAAGTGGCCAGAGATACAATTATTTTCCAAAATTTTAAAACATCAGATCAACAAGAAATAGCTGAAAAATTTTGTTCAAACTATTAATAAAAATAAGAATGATAAGGTTGCCCTTCACCTTGTAGATCCCCATTTTGTAAATTTACAAAAAATGGTCGTACACTGAAAAACGCAATGGGAGCAAATGATAGCCTATTAACACAAATAATTAAGAATGCTTTCAATATAATTGAAAACAGATTTTTAGATGTTATAAATTTATCCCTTGAAAAAAGGGGTATTTCCAGAAGAGTGGAAAACTTATATATATATATATATATATATATATATATATATATATATATAGTTCCAGTGCCAAAGGTGCAAAATACCAGTAAGTGTAATAACTTTCGTCCAATAAACACAGTACCTGTATATGAAAAAATTTTGGAAGTGGTAGTAAAAGAACAATTATTGGAATATTGTGATGTTAACTCTGTGATAGTAAGTAATCAATCTGGTTTCCGTAAAGGTCACTCCTGTGAATCTGTGATATTAAGTATAAGTGATGAGTGGCTACGTGCAATGGATGACAATTGTATTATTCTTGCAGTATTTTTAGATTTTAAGAGAGCATTCAAGACTATAAACAGGAAATTATTGATTCAAAAACTTAATAACATGGGTATTTGTGGTGATGTATTAAATTGGTTTTAATCATATTTGTACAATAGAAAACAAAAAGTAAAATTTAAAAAGTGTTTCAAAATCTATTTTTAATGATTATGGTGTCCCTCAGGGAACCGTTCTTGGTCCTATTTTATTTATTCTGTATGTCAATGATATTGCTAAATGTGTTAAAAATTGTAAAATTTCACTGTTTGCAGATGACACTATGATATACATAGTGGGCAAAAATTTAGATAGTATGTTTAGTATAATGAACACTGAATTGGGTAATGTTTTTACATGGTTATGTTGTAATGATTTATGTATAAATGTTGAAAAATCAAAGTACATGATCATAGGATCAAATTCAAGTGTAAATTATCTTGATGGTTGTTTATGTTTAAAACTAAATGGTGTTTCAATTGAAAAAATACAGGAAATTAAGTATTTAGGAGTTATGCTGGATACAAATTTAAATTTTAAAAGCCACTCAATGTAAGTTTTAAAGAACATGTCACAAAAAAACAAATGTTTTATATAGAGTTAGTTCATGTTTATCAATGTCAACAAAATTGCTTTTGTATAAATCTATAATTTCCCCTCATTGAAACCGAGGCAACACATTTCACTCGTCCTGCGGAATCATACCACTTGTTATATTATGGGTGAAAAAGTTGATATGATTTTTATTTTTGCCAAAGCATAGTATAGTTTGAAACAGAATTCAAGAATATCATGATATTTATGTAAATCAATGTCATTCAAAGTACATATACATATTCTTTTATGCTTTTTGCTCTAAAATTAAAAAATCAATTGGAAAAATTATTAATAAATTTATTTAAAAAAGTAACCCACTTATAAACCCAAGTATAAACCACAAAAATTAGAACAAATTTTGTATCTAAACAAAATAACTGATCATAAAATTTCAACTTGTGGTTTTTGATCCTTTTAAAAAACGAAAAACTTCATCCGCTCGTCCCTTTAAAAAAATAATAAAGTGTTTTACTTTCTTAATATATATAATATAATATATATATATATATATATATATATATGTACCTACTTATATTATTGGGTATTATTAAATAAAGTTAAACATGTACATTACATTGGTACATTGGCCAAAAAGATAGCAACTTCATAAAAACTTATTTATACATAAAGTATACTCAATACAATAAGCAATAAATTTAATGGTAGTAGTTTTACTGCATTTTTAGGTCTTTGCTTTGGACAAAAAAAACAACTGGTGTTATTTTTTAATTTTACCTAATAAACTCCTGGAGAAAATTAACGCAACATCATAAATTTGTCACATTTTTTATGCTATTTATTTTTTAAATTTAGGGTCCGATTTGAATGATTTTTTTTTGCATTGTAGGCTGGTGCCTTGACAATGTTATAATTTTCGCTGTTTATGATAAAAAGTTCATTATCGATTTATACCGGGTGTAATAAAAATGTAATGTTTTTTTCCGAAAATTCGTATCACCCTGTGAAGTATACTAGCAACCGAAACCTATAGCAGTTAAAATTAGACGGTAGGTCCATATTTTCTCAACATATTCTTTTTTGGGTTACTTCATTATCTCTGTTATTAAAGGAGATACGCTGTTTTATAGCGTAACATGTTTTTATAGACTATATTATTTAAAACATTAATTGTTAAATGTTTTTAAGTAGGCTATGGAAAATTCGCCAAACTTATAAGAACTATTCGAAAACTGCTTATTAAACGTTCGTTTCGTATTTTAATCTTAAAAAAATGAATCGTCTAAAAAAATTTTCGACAGAAGAAGCAGTAAGACTTAACTTTGGTGGATGAGGGCTATTCGATGTCATGTTGCTAATGTGATAGGAAGACATCGTTCGATTATAAGTCGTAAGGTTAAACGATTTAACGAGACAGGATCTTACTCTTTAAGGTCAGTACAAGGGCGAAAACGATGTACCGATCCAAGGGATGAGCGTTTTATTAGGCAAGCTACTCTAGAAACAGGAAGATTACTAGTACTAGGCTAAAAAGTGAGCTTAGAACTGCTCGCCATAATACAATATCGTCTCGAACAATCATGATTGTGATCCTGCAGGAGACGTTTGAATGAGGCAGGTTTAAGCAAAAGAAGACCGGCAAAGAAACAATTACTTACCAGAGAGCACAGAGTTTCAAGATTGCGTTTTGCCAAAAATTATTAACATTGGACTGTTAAAGAAGGTTTTATTTTCTGATGAAACGGGAGTTAGTCTTAATTCTCCTGATTTGGCGAAGGTCAGGAGAGAGATTTGCAAGTGGCAATATCTCTCCTAAAATCCCATTTGGTGAAGGCTCTGTAATGTTTTGGGGAGGAATATGCTTCAACGGACGCAGAGAGTTAGTCCCTATACGTGTAAGATCAATGAACGCCGATTATTATCTAGAAAACATTGTAATTGAACATGTAATGCCATTTGTTTTTTTTTGGGACCGAATAGTTTATTTATGCAGGAATATGCATTTATCAAAGCGAGCAGAAATTATACAGATAACAAATAATCTAAACATCTCTTGAAATGTCAGAAAAGGTCCATAGCCTACTTGAAAACATTTGGCAATGATTGTTTTGAATAAGTCTATAAAAACATGTAACGGTATAAAACGGCGTATCTCCTTTAATAACAGAAATAATGAAGTAAACAAAAAAGAAAATGTTGGCGAAAGATGAACCTATAGGTATACCGTCTAATGTCAACTGCTATATGTTTTGGTTGCTAATATACTCCACAGGGTGATACGAATTTTCGGAAAAAAACATTACATTTTTATTACACCCGGTATAAATCGAAAATGAACTTTTTATCATAAACAGCGAATATTATGACATTGTCAAGTAACCAACCTAGAATGCAAAAAAAAATTAAATCAGATCATAAATTCAACAAAAAAATAGTATAAAACATGTGGCAAATTTTTTGATGTTGCGTTAATTTTGTCCAGGAGTTTATAAGTCAAAATTAATATTTTGATGCATAATCATATACTTTTTTATTTTTATTTACTACAGTTTATCACCATGGGTTGTCAATTTCTTTTAAAATCAGAAAAAGGATTATCCAACGAAGGATCAAAGCAAAGTGAAATTTTAAAAACTTTTCGGATTCACAAGTCCACTGTTTTAAGGATTATTAAACGAAATGGAGTACCATTGAGCGCATGCGTCTATAGACGAAATAATTGAAAGGGAATAGTCACATATGTTACGAAACATATGTAGTTCAACGAAAGGGAATAGGCCTCTTAGTATATTCTTCTAATATTAAATATATCAAATATTTTATAATGTTTAGTAATTCATAAAATAAAGAAAATATACAACAATTTACCTAATGGGTGATTTTTACCCACCACACCTAGCTTGTCGTGTTATAAAACGAAAACTCGTCGACTCCGCGCATGTAACGTCACGTGCGAACCAGATTCAAATGTTACAAACAGTTTTGCATAGGCACACGCTATGCACGGGTGTTTTGCTACGATTATTTTATAGTTTTTTTCCGAAATTATTGTGTTTTTTTAAGTATAAGCCACGCACGGGTGTTTTATACCAGGTTATTTATTAAGTTTGTGTTAAATTTTTTGGACTTAATAACTATTTAAAATATGCCGGGCTGTGTTGTAGCAGATAGCAGAAATATAAACAGAAAGTTCAACACCCAACCTAACCTAATATTAAATATTTTCGATTTCCAAAAAAATAAAGACCTGGCAGCAAAGTGGATGAATGCATGCAAGAGAAAGGATAAAATAAAAAAACGGTAATTTTTGGTATACCCAATTTTCTGTTACTAGTAACTTTTCACCACATATTTTTGTAGAGCTTGCATAAGTTCTTACTAATATTAAAAATTAAATCACAATTGTATCGGAACTAAATAAAAAATATTTTGAAAAATAAAAATAGGAAGGTAGGAAATTAATTGTTACATTAAGTATTGCTGCAATTTAACCTTCTCTTAACATTTGTGACACTTAATAATTGTACCCCGTATATTTATAAATTTTCGAATATAACGTGAATTTGCAATGCAAATAACATTCCAAACCAGTTACCCGCCAGCTTTTGGTTCGCACATGACGTCACACGGTGCGAGAGAGATAGCTATAACATGCGCATCAGCATACCGGTTTTTAACACTTACCGTACGGAACGTTCTCCGACATAACTTTTTCGGGATCAGCATCTGAGTTACCTATGGAGTTTAGAGTTGTTACAACGACTTCGCAATTGTGCAACTTAGACTGTCCGGGATACACCATTCTTCCAACCCGCCAGTCATTCACGGTGTAAACATGTTTCCTTTCACCGTTACAGGCGAAATATACGCGGTACATCAGTAAAGGAGCGTTATGATATATTCGTTTTAATGGTATCCACCGAATGACCAAGTTACCTTAAAAATACAATATTTTCATTACACATATGCTTAACTTGTAGCAAACTATGTCCACAAATCTTGCAAATTTTAGGTCAATCGTTTGGTTAAATTTTTTGACCAACCGACCCAAACAACACATTACGTTTTAAAAATGTACATTTTTGGTTATATTTACGTACTTACGTCTTAAGACCAAAAAAAGATGTATTAAGTACGTACTATATATTATGTACATAAAATGTAAGGTTCAGTCGTCCTCAGTACGTACATAGTTTGTACAAAGAAGGTATGTGCAAAATACTTCTAAAGTATTCCTGGTTGCATAGTGTGTACCGATCGCGGCAAAGGCGGTGTGTATCACGTGATGTTCTTAAATCTCGCCTCTGTTGACTTATTTGAAGAGTATATAGGCTCAGATTGTCCTTTACTTTGGTGTGACAATACAAGTTGTTTGATACTAAAGAGACCTTAAATAGGTGGAAACAGCTATCAATTCTTAAAGAATTTCAAGTAGGTGAACGCAGTAAAAACATTTCCTCTAGAGAGCTGAAGGTTCAATATTCAGGAATAATACCACTGGTAGTGTACTAGTTTCTTGAAAAATATAAAAAAATGGTTTAAAAAAAAATGTTTTTTTTTATTTAGTCAAATCAGCCAAATGTATTTAGTTAAATCAAACAAATAATAGTTGGGCTAACTAAAGCTTTTTTCTGTGTACGGAATAAAAGTACGATTTATTTATGTACAAACTACGTTCTTAATACTTGGTAAATGTACATACATAAAACGTATTATCGAGTGGAATTTGGACGTACTTAATACGTACTTAGGATGTACATAAGATATCGCAGTACGTACGTAAAATGTAAGGTACGTCGAAGGTCGACGTACTATGTACTTACATAAAATGTAAACTGGTTGTTTGATGAGCTGAAATTTTAAACACCTTTAAGAAGGCGTTAATTGCAAGATCGCAGTACATTATTGCCATATTTAATTCATTATCCCGTACGGGAATCTATAAATGGCACTACGATTTTCGTATTGTTCATCTTTTAAGGGAGGATGAAAGAAAGGAAGGAAGGAAATCTATAAATCAGGCTTAAATCCACCATAACTATTACCTACTTACTTACTATACCTATATACATATATATTTATATAATAAATACTGGGGGTCATTTATAAAGTTCCTACATTGGGATGTAGGTATGTAGTAAGGGTTAAAACTATGATCTTATATGTATAAGACCGTGGTTAAATCCATTCCATGCAGAGTGGTTTTAAATGTTGTCAACGCCACTAGCGGATTTAAAAGAGTTTAATAAACAAATTAAACCAAAAACAATATTGCGTAAACATTAAAATGTACCTGCAAACTAGTAATCTTCTAATCTTACTGCAATTACCACCCTTACATATTGTTTTTTACGGAAAACAATTTTGTTTATAAGTTATGGCAACCCCCAGCACGCCGCTAGTGGCGTCACCTCTCGGTAATCTAATGAAGCTAGTCAACTGTTGACTGTCAACAGCGCGCTGTTTAAAAACACCACTAGCGGTAATTGGAGTAAGCAATTTTATTTTTCAATATTTTACATTTCGTTTCTTTAAAGCCAAGTTCAAATAAAATAATTATGTTTGTAATTCCTTAAGAGGTGGAACCACACTTCCACGCGCCTCTTTACAGCCAACCACATCACCACATTGCGGCCTTTATTATTTACCCTTTTTATAATTTGTAATTATTTTAATTGAGAAATATATTGATTTTAATTTTGTAATTCCAGGTTCCTTAAAAAAATCAAGGAAAAATATCTTTTTTTATATATAAAATTCCAGGTCAATTCCAGTACAATTCCAGGTCAATTCCAGTACTGAATATTTTTTTTACAATTTACGAGTTTTCGTCTATTTGTCGCTGCTTGAGGCGAGAGAATTGGAGCTTGGGCTTGCTCTAATTAATGGTTTTATATCACATGTAGGGTTGGGAAAATTTCACTTTTTGCTTGTACTTGAAATTTTCATGATATTTATGAAATTTATTGAAACTTTCAATAAATTTCAATCACTTTAAGTGTAATATATTAATATTTAAAATAGCCCACTCGGGGACCATGGCAAATTGCCTCTCTTGCCTCCTACCCCTCTGTGGGAAAAGATATATAGCACTTTTTGGTAAGCTAATGAGATTTTGCCACTTTCATTGTTTTATATTTATATATATTTATTATTTTTATATATTTTACTGAAATTTTAGGAAAATAGAAGAAACTTCATTAAAATTATATGAGCCAAAGGCATTTTTTATCCGTTTTCCGATGCAATTATAGCAAAAGTAAAAGTTTAAATTAATCATGACTAAAAAAAAAATTAAAGTCTGATTTAATTTACAAATTAAATTGGTAACTAAAATTAAATTATTTAAATTAATTTATGCATATAAGTAACAATAATTACTTATAGTGTATTCAAATCCAAGCCGAACTAAACAAAAACGCTTGATAACTCGTTCTTATTGGTCGATTCGGAATCTGTTGTAAATTATTATTAAAGGTCCCAGGGGAGGCCGCATGTGAAATTTATGCGAAATTTTCAGTAAATTGCGAAACTTTCAATAAAATTTCTGAAAGTTTCACAGGCAATGTTAAAATTTTCGGATTGCAAATTTCATTTGAAATTTTTAAAAATTTAACTTTTCCAACTAAATGAAATATTTCAAGTTTAAAACTTTCAAAGTTAAAATTTTCATTTGAAAATTTCAACTGTCCCAACTCTAATCACATGACTGAAGATGTGGTGGAAGGCAGTTTGTGATGCAGTGTGTGTAGAGCGGGTGTTTTTGTTTTAATTCAGATTAAATTATTTAAAATTGTTGTCTGATCTTTTAAAGTTTTTGTACATGCTACACAGGTAAAATTAGAAGTTTTGACTAACTTACAAGTCGTATTGAGTTTCAATTAGGGTTAGGTTTTCCAAATACCGGTAAGATTTCTTTAGTTAAATACTAGATGACCCGGTGAACTTCGTTCCACCTAAAATTCTTTATATGCGATTATCAATTCTTTCAACTCCAATTCATTGAACAATGTTAAACGACACGGAATTGTTGTCACAGTCGCTCGAATCTGTGTAACGTACCTTGAGAACTTTACTATTTAAACTAATTTAAACAATTAAGAAACTTTAATATTTAAACTAATTTCTCGCTAAACAATTGAATTAATGAATGTGTAGTTATGTTTTTTTATTTAATTTGAAGCGCAGCTAAAAACTTCATCTATTCAAATTAATCCAAAGTACGAATTTTGATTTTCCGGCTGTTCCTTTCGGTTTTCCTAATGTATTTTTTATTTAAATCACCCCTGTATTAGGTCTAAAACTATCGATAGTTGGCACTATCGATATTATTTGATATTTGGTCACTTTACTATCGATAACTATCGATAGTTTTCGATAGTGAGAGTAAATTATAAAAAAACATAATTAAAAAATAAAAGCAAAGTAATTATTTATTTTTATTCAAAAATCACATTACAAATTTTACAAACTGCCAAAAACTTCAAACTACAAACCTATAAAATCCCACAAACTTACCTTTTTTCTTTTTTGTCTCGGGCCCAGATCGAGTTATGAATTTCTCCATTTCTTACAAATTTTTTAAAACACTTTGGTGAACTCTTTAGAAAAAGCATATATCCAAATTGATTTATTATCTATGATTGTTAAAAAAACTTTTTCTACAACTAAGCGAAAAGTACAAATTTGTGCTTCTAAAAGAAAGTGCAAAGTTGCACTTTTACGAGGAGCGAGCGACAAAGTTACTTTGTCAATCTTCTCGCTCAGAGCGGCAATGTATCACTTTGCGCTCTTAATACACAAATAAATTCCATGACGAAACCATGACAAAACAAACGCAATTTTGGCGCCAAATTTCAAAACAAGACATCGGAATTTAAAACATAGTGCAATTATTTGACAGAATGAGTGTAATGTGAGTGTGCCCCTAACTTTAGTTGCTATTAAAACTTACCAAGATTAAGATTTTCGTGAAACTTTAATAGTGGGCTAAAAGTTAAAGCGTTATTAAACTATCGGAAACTATCGCAATAGTTTTAAAAACTATCGATATTATTCGATAGTTAAAACTATAGATATTTATCGATAGTGCTATCGATAGTTTTAGACCTCTAGTATTAGGGCGAATAAAACAAAAAAAAATATTTAAATCGGTCGAGCCATTTCCGAGTTTAATAGTTATTTAATTTGAAGCGCAGCCACGAACGCCATCTATTCAAATTAATCCAAAGTTGTACAAATTTGGATTTTTTCGATTTGCCAGTGTTTCTTTCGGTTTTTCTTAATGTTTTATTTAAATCACCCCTGTATTAAGACCAAGAAAACAAAAAAGGTTTTTTACATTTTTATCAAAGGTTGACGGTTTCTCTCTCAAAAGTGCAACGTTTCATAGCACACAATTCCCAACATTTCAATGACTTCTTAGCCTTTTTTATAATGAAATGCTCTGATCAGTGCGCCTTTTCTACAATATAGCGGATAAAAGTCTGGATTCCTTCTGTATTCAGGATCATTTCAGATTGTTCCGCGCACGTTGCTCAGTCGTCCACATCCGAATGCTCACGTGTGTAACTTTATTATTTTATTTTAGTAATAAGTATAAAATAATAAAAGACACGTATTTGAAAAGTCTTTAAATCTAGTTACTTAGTTTCGTATTGTAACAAGAATGACCTCATATGTGGAAAGAGGTTATGAAGAAATAGGTAATCTGACATCTTAGTATGACGTCACCTTATCGTTTTCTATTCGTCAAACCCTTGCCTTTGATATCTATATCAAGGAGGTTTTCCGCCATCTTAAAGCGGCGGTCATTTTATACTGCGACATAAATATATATAAAAAATAAAATGATAAGATTTAGAATATGCGGATTTTACGTAAAATATAAATAAAGTGTAAAAAACATGGGCGAATGCTTAAGAAAAAAGTTTATTGTTGAAATTTTGCAACGTTACAAATATATTTATACTAATAAGAAGCTAATTTTGCTTTAACTAGACTGTTTTTTCCAAATCGCTTATATGAATTCTTAAAAATGTACTCTCAAAAAATTACCCGACCTTGTATTTTGTAAAAATATGGCGTTTTTTGCTCCAAATATACAGTTTATTAAGATCTACACTTTAAAACAAATCCGGTTAGAATCGCAAAATAAATTAAGATTTTACAGGGGTGAGTCGCAAAAAAATCTTAAAGATTATAATATTGTAGCGAGGACGGCTCTGGATCTCGGAATGATGACTCATCGCCGGTGACTCAGCGCTCGAACAATCGAGAGTGTGGAGCTCGCTGGAATGTTCCAGAAGACTTGGGCGCTTAATATATAAGAAACGGAGCAGCACAGAGCAGTCAGTTGAGCTTTGGTACGCGCGAAGAAATAACTAAAATATAAGTGAAAATAAATAAACTAGTAGTGATATCGAGGGGTCACCCACACCTGGGAATCCCTGGACATTTTAGAGGGGGAATACCATAGGAATACAATGGAAATACATAGGAATACAATAAAATATAATGGGAATACATGGGAATCCCTGGACGTTTTCCCTTTGGGTGGTTGACCCCTCGAGTGATATAAATAATTAGTAGTTAAGTGTTTAGTTAGTTTTATAGTGTTTTAAGTGTAGTTAAGTTATTAAATAAATAGTTCGTTAATTAACCAGTGCGTGTTTTAATTCACACTACGAACAGTTAAAAACGTTACAATTGGTGTCAGAAGTGGGATTAGTGTGAAACTTTGCGAAAATGGTTTCGTTAATGGACTTAAAAGTGGCGGACCTTAAGCGGGAGCTGGAAGAAAGAGAATGTGAAACAACTGGAAAAAAGAATGTGTTGCAGCAGCGGCTTCGAGAAACGTTGGAACAAGAGGGTGAAAATCCAGATACCTATTTATTTGAAGGTTCGTGTGATATGCATTTATTGTTGCAAAATTTGAAAGGTGATTTACAACAGAAAATGCTAGAAAATTCTAGCGATTTGAAAGTCGATTTACAACAAAAGATTCTGGAAAATTCTAACGAGTTGCAACAGAAAATGCTAGAAAATTCTAACGAGTTACAACAGAAAATGGTAGAAAATTCTAGCGATTTAAAAGTCGATTTACAACAGAAAATGCTGGAAAATTCTAACGAATTACAGCAGAAAATTCTGGAAAATTCTAAAAATTTTAAAGAATATTTGGAACAGAAGATTCTAGATAATGTCAATGAATTAGAAGAGAAAGTAGGACAAAAATTTGACGACGTAAGGATGGAATTGAATAACGTAATGAGGGAATTAGATACAAGAGAAGAAAAATTGAACGAGAAATTGGATGTCAAAATTAGAGAAATAAATAGTAAATTGAAAGCTGTCAATGTACCCATGATGCTGGCGGAACAAGGAGCAGTGCCGAAGGGGAGCCGAGTTAGGATGAAACCACCTCAGTTCGATGGAAAATCTTCTTGGACAAATTACATCCTTCAGTTTGAGGCAGCTGCAAAAGCAAATGGCTGGCTACCAGAGGAGAAGGCTACAGCATTAACTCTTGCTTTACGCGGAGATGCAACGGACATCTTGCAGACACTTTCTCCAAACGAACAAGAAGATTACGAAGCCTTGGTGAAACACCTGAAACTGCGATATGGCCAGACAGATCTGGAACATGTCTACCATTCCCAACTGAAGAATCGCTGCCAGAAATCGAACGAGACTCTGCAAGAATTCGAGGCTGACATTGCACGCTTGGTCCGGCTAGCATATCCAGCTACTCCAACGACCCTTATGGAACGATTAGCGGTTCAAGCCTTTTTGGATGGACTTCGAGACAACGAAACAAGACAGGCTCTAACACTGGCTCGTCCGAGCCAACTGGTTGATGCATTGGCTCGAGCTTTGGAATTCGAGGCGGCAAAGCAGAGCTGCAGGAGCCAGCCTAGAATAAGGAGAGTCGAGGAAGAGAAAGAGGAGGAACCCAGTATAATTGAAGCAATCAGGCGAGTTTTTAAAGAAAATCTACCAGAGAAGAAGGAAATCCAGTGTTGGAGATGTGGAAAGCTAGGACATATACGAAGTCGTTGCAGAGAAAGTCAGGCGGTGCCGACTTCGTCTCAGTCGGAAAACTAGATAGGGTCGAGGAAAAGGGGCCACCGTCGACCTGTAATCAGCATGCCCCAGAAGATATCGAACGTGTTGCATCTCTTTTACACCAGTCCAGCAGTGTTTTTGTGGATGGTTTAATTAATGAAAAATTACATGTGCTGCTGCTGGATACAGGTGCGACGAAGACAATTATTAGGCCAGATATTGTCGAAATGTCCAAGATAAAATCTACCAATCGGCTACTACGTACTGCAACAAGAGAAACCGCTACTGTTCGTGGAGAAGTGGACATCACGATGGTCATAGGAAACACGAAATTTAAACATCGAGCATTAGTTGCAGATATTGAAGATGAAGTTATTATAGGCATGGACATTATGAACTCAATAGGATTTGAACTGAACTTTAAGCAAGGAATATTAAGGGTAAATGGAGAGGAAGTCGTGTTGCATCGATCTAAAGAGAAGAATATTCGTGTAATGCTAACAGAAGATGCTTTGATACCGGAACGCAGCGAGATGATATTGAAGGCTTTCTTGGATTGTAAATCAGAAGATGGAAGTATAATGCTTCTGGAACCGAGAATTGATGACAAAGAGGTCGGTCGAGGAATTGTAGTAGGAAAGACTTTAATACGTGTCGGAAAAGAAGTGCCTGTTAGAGTATTGAATGTTAATGGTTACTCTGTGAACTTGAAGAAAGGAATCGTTTTGGGGAACTGTTCTTCAGTTTCCTCGATTATTAGAGGCATTCGTGAATCTGCAGTCCCGGCCAAGAAAGTGAGCAATGAATTGATGAATCTTCTGTCGACTTCTTCAAAGGATTTGAAACCCAATGAAAGAATAAAGCTAAGAGAGCTGATACACAATTATCAGGATGTTTTTGATGACGGACAAGGAAAGAAGGGTAGGACAAGAATTGTCCAGCATAAAATTAACACCGGTGATGCACAGCCCATTCGACAGTCGGCAAGAAGGCTACCACTTGCCAAGCGAGAGGAAGCTGATAAAATTGTGCAAGAAATGGAGAAGGAAGGGGTGATCGAACCATCCAACAGCCCATGGTCTTCCCCAGTGGTGTTAGTTAAGAAAAAGGATGGATCAACTCGATTTTGCGTCGATTTTCGTTAGCTGAACAACGTGACGAAGAAGGACAGCTATCCTCTACCTAGGATCGATGACACCTTGGATACATTGGCTGGATTGCAAATATTTTCAACTTTGGATTTAAAGAGCGGTTATTGGCAAGTTGAAATGGCACCAGAAGATAGAGAAAAGACGGCGTTTACCGTGGGTGCAGGACTGTGGCAGTTTACTGTCATGCCGTTTGGACTATGTAATGCCCCTGCAACTTTTGAAAGGCTCATGGAAATGGTTTTGAAGGGACTATCCTGGAAGACATGCTTGGTGTACCTTGACGACATCATTGTGGTTGGGAAATCATTTGAGGACCATATGAAGAACCTGAAGGAAGTCTTTCAGCGCT